CTCTGCAGACCCGTTCTCTCTGCAGACCCGTTCTCTCTGCAGACCCGTTCTCTCTGCAGACCCGTTCTCTCTGCAGACCCGTTCTCTCTGCAGACCCATTCTCACTGCAGACCCATTCTCTCTGCAGACCCATTCTCACAGCGTTTATCAACCTTTTCTTACTCAATATCAAGCCACACTTATTGTTTTTACTTCGGCTGTGACTTTGTGTGTGCTCAGGGAGAGTTTGGCTGTGTTTTGCTGTGTATCGCTAAACAAGGAAATCACACCTCCACGGAGCTCAGCGCGATTCACAACGTCCCGACTGGTCCCGACCAATCGGAGCACACTGGGCTCACAGGGAGGGGGGGCAAGAGCTGCAACGAGCCGTTTAGTGGAGAGAGTGAATACACGTAGTTTACAGAGATGCTGTATGTGAAACAATGTGAGTTTGGAACATTACAGTATAAATCTATTCTAGTAGACCTCAACAATGGAATTATGATCAGTGGAAATGGCCATGGCATGTGACCTTTAACATCGCAGTTTATCAGTGGATGCTTGCTGGAACTACTTGTTAACAGCGTGTTTCCTGACGGACACACACAGCGTGACTCCGGTCAGGTAGAGACCGGTCTCCAGTCAGCACCGATGCAGACTCGCTGTTTGAGGGCTTGATAGCCCACTCCCCCTCCACACTCATTGGTTTGGAACAGCACTTAATGTGGTGGACCCTCCGCGTGAACGGAGGGGTAGGGTGGAGGGGTAGGGTGGAGGGGTAGGGTGTAGGGGTAGGGTAGGGGGTAGGGTTGTTTGGGATTGGGCCACACACACATACACACACACACACACATACTGTATACATCGCTTCAGGGGACATATCATTGACTTACATGCATTTCCTGGAGACTTATCCTAACCTTAACCATAACCAACACATGCCTAACCCTAACCCTAACCAAGTCTTCGCCCTAACATTAATGATTCCCCTTATGGGGACCTCCATTATGTCCCCATAAGGGAGGCGAGTCCCCACACGTGACTGTGTAAACATATGTATGTCCCCACAAGGATAGTAATGATAGGCCACACACACACACACACACACACACACACACACACACACACACACACACACACACACACACACACACACACACACAGAGAGAGAACAGGAGAGGATTAAAGGATCAGTACCCCCGGTTCGTACACAACCTTTAATACTTCATAATAAAAGAGCCATAACAGATTGGTCAAAAAGGTTAAAAATCCATGCAGCAGATATCGCCTTTTTTTAATTCCATACATTTTCTCCCTTGTCAAAACGTGCCGCCTTTATTAGCCAATGAATGAAGGAGAGCGTGTGATGCTAGCAGCAGCAGAGAGGTCTCATTCCTCCTTCTTTCGCTCCTTCATCTCTGGAGGACACACTAACTCTGGAGACACTGGGCGCATTCACACACACACGGAGCAGAACACACACTGACATGTGGAAGCAACACAAGCCTTACAGCTTTAACGCTTACACAGAAAAAGATAATAAGATACTAAAGACAAATTTAGCAACTATAAGACTGACGTTTAGTTTAAAACAAATTGCTAAATATCCAAACACTCTCTTAAACATACCCTTAGTCATGCAGGATTAAGTGTCTGTGTGTGTGTGTGTGTGGTGTGTGTGTGTGTGTGTGTGTGTGTGTGTGTGTGTGTGGTGTGTGTGTGTGTGTGTGTGTGTGTGTGTGTGTGTGTGTGTGTGTGTGTGTGTGTGTGTGTGTGTGTGTGTGTGTGTGTGTGGGAGAGAGGGAGGGAGTTTCGGTGTTTTGAGATTACAGGCGTGCTGCATTCCTTCACTCTGCTGTCAGTCACAGCCACAAAAACCCACCTCTTCCTCAGACAGGAAGTGTGTGTGCTGCAACTTTCATGCTATCAAATGCCAACAGTTGTGGTCTGATGGCGGCCTGATGTTTCCTCACTGAGCTTCCAGTTAGTGACCTGATGATTTTGTCCCTTTGCAGGAGTAATAAACATTTTCAAACCACTTTGAACCCACCTCTGATGCAGCTGTTAGCTTGCGACATGCTAACAGTCAACATGTGACATGCTAACTGTGAGGGAGGGGGGCTGTGTCAAGGAGGTCCTGGTTGGTGTTTCTCTGGTCATCCACAGACTTCAAATCAAATCAAGTTTTATTTATAAAGCACATTTAAAAGAGATTTTTGGTCGAGCCAAAGTGCTGTACAGCACATGTAATAAAAACACATTACTACAATCACAATAAAAGACAACACATTACAACAGATATAAAAAACACAGGGACAAGTCAGGAGTCGTGCTCCGCTCTGACTAGAAGGCCAGGACTTCTGGTCTATGACCTGTGACCTGTCCCAGTGCATGCTGGGAGGTCCTGGTCTGGTGTTTCCAGTGTTCTCTTGTCCTGCGTCATCATCATGTTAGGAGGAAAGTGCTTTTCTGCTTTGCAGTCAATGCATGAATATCAAGAGAAAAAGGGCATCAGTGTACGTTGACTAACAACTCATTTGTTGTGAACAGTCAAAATATTTGTTTCATGGTTTCTGTGTGATTTTTAAACTAATTTCTGTAGTTATGTGGTACTATTAAAGTTGGGGAAATGATAGTTGTACAGTAAAAATAACAATCCAACTGTAATTGTCATAAAACACTGAGACTACCCTTTATTTATTATAACAATAACCACAACATATTTATTCTTTGGATGTTTTGAATAAAACAGCTTTTTCTTTAAAATAATCGTCGCCCCCCTAAATGTCATTTGCACTACACACACTACAGCCAAATCAATATCACACATCTGAATCTTCTGCTCATGTGAGAAAGCTTTACGTTCAGATGTCCGATATTGATTTGGCATTGGTTAATCTAGTAACTCATTCATTTATTAAAGTGGATTCAGGGTTGAACCAAATGAGTGGTGACACACAGAGGCAGCAGTGTGTGTGTGTGTGTGTGTGTGTGTGTGTGTGTGTGTGTGTGTGTGTGTGTGTGTGTGTGTGTGTGTGTGTGTGAGGGGCGAGGCCGGGGCTCAGAGAATGGAATGGTTGAGGAATGTCACTGTCATGTCTGCACTCGTCTTCCTCAGCTCTCGTTAGTGTCGCTCCTCGCCTTTATCTCTCTCGAACACTCCACTTTATCTCCTCTCTTGTTTCAGTGTGTGTTCATCTTCAAACCATTTTATTCCCCGCCATAATGTTTGAGTAGCAGCCCGACTAACTATGAGTCGTGATGTCTGGATTTAAACGGAGAAGCGTCAGCCATTGTGAATCGGCCCTCAGCTAGTTCTTAAAGTATAATGGAATATGGCCCACACCTGAATGTTCTGCTTGTCTTATATTGTACTTCTTATATGTAAACATATATTACTTAGTAGTATTCATGTTTTAATATTAAATACATTCAGTCAATTAAAGTTGAAAACATAATCAAATCGTAGTTGATAAAAGTCCAATAACTTATTTAAATGAGCAGCTGAAATACACGCTTCATATCCCCCCTTATGATAAGGAATCTGAGGCTCCTGTATTAAAGGATGAGCTGCCAACAAGATCAAGTAAACCCTCTGGAGAGCTGTGATGTTTGTTTCTTAAAGCATATTCAAGTCTCAAGCATCATTTCCCTACATTTGATAGATGTGGCTAACTTATAACTTAACTTATGAGGTGGCAATATACCTCACCTCTAGTGAGGGGCCCAGACCTTGGTATGTTTCTCTGTGTGTGGCCCTCAGTGCAAACAGTTTGGACCCCCTGCTCTAAATGATTTAGCAAAGCTATAGGCTGATGTGGAGGCTCTGAGTCTGCTTTGTGTTTCCTCTATGTAACTCTTTCTGTTTGAAGACACTTTGTCTGTCCTCATCAAAGACTGGGTCCTCTCCTCGGCTCCTGTTGTCTGACCGTTGACCTTTTCACAATGTTAGTTATTAAGTTGTCTCTGAACGTGTGTTTCAGGCGCTGAACAGATTGCTGAGATGTGCACTAATAGGACCTTAAGGAATTAGACAAGGAACGTTTATTCATATTTTAAATAGATTTATGCGTTCTAAATAACTGAAACACATTGTCAAAGATCAGGGTTCAATAGATATTTATTCAAAATCTCAAAAATAATGCCATAACTGGTATTACATGTCTTCATTATTTCTAATGTATTTTAAATCTAGACATGGGGAGTAGTCTTTTATGTTCTTTTTTTGTTTGATTTGCTACTTGTAAGGTTGGTCTTACATTTCATCCCCAGCCTGAAAAAGTGTTTAATGTTTGCAGCCCTCAGTAGGAGGAGCCTGCCAGACGGCCTCACATCACTGAATCACTTCCACATGAAATCTGTCAGAGATATTACCTGACGCCACGTCTTCATTCTTTTATTAGTTCCAATCTGCTCAATGTCACTCCTCGTCTCGTTATTGGCCTGATTACACCCAGCTAGAACCTGATAAATATTGTTATTGGGTGATACGTTGAGAACATCTCACTCAAACCATTCCCACTCTGCTGTGTCTTCTTCTAAATCCTCAGACTTCCTGAAGTGAAACTGTTCGGAGACGCCACTGGCTTTTGTTTCAAATTGCTGACATGAATGTTTGAGCAACTTTGAAAAGTTGAGGAAGTTGAAATGCAACAGCAGCCATCTCTGCGGTTTGCATCAATGCGTGTGTGTGTGTGTGTGTGTGTGTGTGTGTGTGTGTGTGTGTGTGTTTCTGTGTGTGCATTGAGATTAAATCATCCTCAAAGCACGTCAAGGAGATGATAAAGCTGTCCGTTAGTTTGATGTGTCAGTACGTCAACAACCACAACAGTTTTTCAAAGAATGTTCTCCAAACACAGGGGAGGTTATTGCTGCTGATAATAATGTGAGCCAAGATATCAAAGCATTATCCATCCCTCATGTCAAAATATTAGTATGTGTTAGTATCGTATTCAAGCCGTTAATCATGGTACGCTGTGTCGCTGTAAAGTGGTTGTGCTGATATCTTCCTCTCTCCTCAGGGTCGAGTCTCCGTACTAAAGAAGTTCCTGCACACTGCTGGTGAGTCTCATGACAAGCAGACATAAACTGCTGAATAGAAATGTAACTAAATGCAAATATGTTATTCTGATCCGAACTATGTTAGAGTAAAGACGGTTGTAAAGGGAGTGCTGGAGTGTGTCCCTCTCATCACACACGGCACATGTGTATTTATGTATGGCCAGTGGTGGACAGAACCTACCTACATTTACTCAAGTAAAGTACCATAGTAAGGTTCTTGTACTTTATTTGGGTATTTCCAATTACTGCAAAAATAGTACTTATTACTCCACTACATTTATCTGCTAAAGTTAGTAACTTTGAGCGCTGACAACATCAGGTCAAGGACCTTTGGAAATCAATAAAGTTATTATAATGTTTTAAGCATGCGATGAATGAACTGTGTTTCTACGGGCCTTCATGTGCTCCCAAACACCATTGATGTAGTAAATGTATAGTATGTATGTTGTTTTGATTATATTTATTGATCATGAAAGAATGAATGACTTTGTATACTGCAGGGTAGCTTGTGGATTTACTCCAGGTGGAACTAAAGTCTGATTTAACACTTGATTATATTTCACATCATTCATCCACATCTGTGAAGTAACTAAAGGTATTACATACATGTAGTGAAGGAAAAGTACATCATGTACCTCTGAATTGTAGTGGAGTAGAAGTACAAAGTAACATAACATTGTAGTACCTCAAAAGTGTACTTAAGTACGGTACTTGAGTAAATGTACTTAGTTACTTTACACCTCCGGCATTACTCATCCACCTTCCTCTATCCATCATACACCCTCTGAGGCACGTGTGAACCTTTATATATACAGTCTATGGTGTGAACACATTGAGGGATTTTGAAGATAGGATATAATATTATATATCGATTTGATATATAATATTCCAAGAGAGTGACCACACACACTCCTTCTCCCATGCTGTGTGTGTGTGTGTGTGTGTGTGTGTGTGTGTGTGTGTGTGTGTGTGTGTGTGTGTGTGTGTGTGTGTGTGTGTGTGTGTGTGTGTGTGTGTGTGTGTGTGTGTGTGTGTGTGTGTGTGTGCTTTGAGCAGTCTCTGTTGAAACAGTAGTCACCAAGGCTGCCTCCTCTTGGTTGGCCAAACAAAGCTGGTGAAGTCACATACAGTGTGTGTGCAGGTTTTTAAATGTGTGTGTTTCCTTCATTTACATGAGATGATAAGATAGAATTCTTAGTTTAGTGGCCGTGATGAAAAGATATATACAGATATCATTTTACACTAGTACGTCTTCAAAATTGATAACAAGCACTAGCTAAACTTTCTTAGACAATCTGATATGAAATATTTTAGAGGATACATCAAGATCCTCTAAAATATCTTGTGTGTGTGTGTGTGTGTGTGTGTGTGTGTGTGTGTGTGTGTGTGTGTGTGTGTGTGTGTGTGTGTGAGTGTGTGTGTGTGTGTGTTTAAAATTAAAACAGGAGATATTTGCAGCTCTGCTCACACTTTCCTCTCTCATTCCTGTTTTTAGGAGATCCTGGACAAACATCAGACCATTTTGTCTCCCATGATGCATCTGTACAGCCGGGAGAAGCGTCCAGTTGGACCCAGCTGGTTCAGTCCAAGCCCTCGCTAAACCATTTCCCATAATTCCCCTCTGTCTCTGTCCCTCTCTGGCTGGCAAGGACAATGGAAACTTGATTTTTCTCAAACAACGGATTCTATCAGTTTGGATTACGAGCTGCAATCTTCTGATCTACTTTGGGGTTTTTTCAAAGCTTTTTCCACTTTCGCCCACTATCACTGGATCCTCACCTCTTTCTCTTCCTCTCTTCCACCTGGTGCTAACAAACGTCATCCTTCACCCTGTGTCCTGCCACTTCCTTCAGGAAGCTAACAACACGGAGAAACAGAGACGTTTCCTGCACTGAAGCTGACAGGCGATGAGTGACTCTCTTTATGCTGCTTGAAACCAGAGGAGGACACACACACACACACACACACACACACACACACACACACACACACACACACACACACACACACACACACACACACACACACACACACACACACACACACACACAGGCCACACACGTTGACAATCAGGATTCAGGGGTTGAATAATATCTGAAGTTTGTTGGTGCTTTGATTTATCTCCCTCTCTGTGCCAGGCGGGTCCCCACCCGGTGGGGGGGTCTTGAGTGCAGCGGATGTTTCACAGTTTAGTCTTCCATTATAGGACATGTTGATCCTTAATACCTCAGGTTTCACAACACAGACGCTCAAACTACTGAGCTTAAGGCTGAAAACATCTTTAAACATCTGGAGGTTTTGGGGTACATTCACTTCCTTAAAGACTACCTGCCAGCCAATCAGAAACAAGTACACCTTTAACTATAATTATTTTGAACTGGGTCTTAATGGTCTTAGAGTGATTTCACTAACATTGGGATTCCTTAACTTAGTTGAAAAGTTCACCACGAAAAACTGTTAATGTTCTTCTGAGAAACATAGCATTGTATAACCTTCGCTATGAATATCAGCTTCTAAAATACATTATCAGTCAGGCTGTGATGTCTAAAAACAAGTTACAATAGAAATAGATACACACATACACACACACACACACACACACTCCTTCATCTTCACTGTGATGTGGGTGTCTCCCTCTCCTGCTTTACCTTCATCCCCCTTGTTTGTGGTCCAGGATCCTCATCTCACACTCCTTCCAGTATGTGGAACACATGAGTGGAAAGGTGGAGGTAAATGTTTTAGGCGGCACAGACAAGCTTCAACATGCAGGGGTGAGTCAGGTGGTGAAGGTGAAGCAGCATGTTTTCAGTTTCTGAGGGAAGGTGAGATCCATGGCGGTTCCTTTTTAAACCACTTTACCATAACAGGGTGGAAGTTATTTTAAACTATGTTTTGTAGATTGATTATTCACCTTGGTTTTTATCTGAAAATGTAAAAGAAATCAAACAAATTAGTATTTAAATCAGCCTAATATCACTAATCTGTCTTTACACTCCGTCCGCATTCCCCTGCAGCGCACAAAAAAACTAAAAGAGCTCCACTTCCTGTTCTGTGAAGTTCAGTTTCTCGGTTAATCATATGTGTGCTTTTTATCATCGGACTTGAGATGGTTTCTCCTGGCTCTGCTGTCATTGTATGGTTTGTGTTGGTAGGTTGTGTGTGATCTCAGACTTCCACCTGCACTGATCTCCAGTGAGAGAAGTATTTATTTGTTTCCAAAAATTCTCAAAGTTGCTCTTACTGAATTTAAAAGACAATGTATCATTTTCAACATATTTATTTCTCCAGTTTGGGATAACACACAGCACAGAATGTATTCCTAACATCTGTTGTCCTAACGCAACCTGTGTGTTTGTTTGAAGATGACACAAGCTGCCTTGATAAAAACTGCCCTGACTGTAAATAATAGAAATATACACTGTAAACAATGTGTGATACTTTTGGAAATATACATGGTGTTTTTATTTCTTATCATGATGATAAAGCTTGTTTTTGTTCTCTTGGCTTGTTGTTGTTTACAGAAACCACCTTTGAAATTCCTGTAATAATCTTTAAATAAATGTCCCCAAGGTTAAATGTATGTCCAATGTAACATCCTTGTAAAGCCATAAAAGTTGTGGAAATATTTTCCTAATTTTGCCTGGTTTGTTTTTCTCTATTTATTCATTTCATTGTGTAACACCTGGAACTCTTAACAGCCAATCAGAGTCTTCAAATCTTCAAACTATCCAATCACCAAAAGAAGCAAGCCCTCTCTTTCAGTATGCATACGTGTGTGTTGGTGGGGTTTTCTCTAAAGTCAAGGAAACTAGGGAGTGGCAGTTAAGGAAAAAAAGAAACATCCCATAGCCACACACACACACACACACACACACACACACACACACACACACACACACACACACACACACACACACACACACAAACCTCAGTCGTGAGAAGTAACTTTATCTCTCAGCTTTAAGTGCTTCTCCTACAGGCATTGATTGACAGATATCACAGTTTGAGAATTGAACAGGAGCTAGATTTTGATATTCCTCTTTTCTGATGCTTAAAAATTGTTTTAAACTTTTGCTCCATTGCCATAAAGCAGAGGTGGCGAATGGACGAAATAGCTTTACTTTCTAAAAATATTCTCCCAAGGTCTAACAAAGACAGAAGACCCACACACAGGCTGAGCTGTGTCCGGTCACTGTGCTCTTTATCTGCGGTCAGGTTAACCTCCTGATTACATCTTCCTTCAAAACACCCCCAATATAAAGCTACAACACACACTCCCCCCACACACACACATTCACCAACACTAAGCTAAAGGCGGCTAATGCTGGGCTACAAAGGAACTACAGCACGGTCACATGACTTCACGTCAACAACGCTAAGGTACAGGCGGCTAATGTTGGGCGTGATGATGTTTAGTCATCTCATTTAGACACTTGTTAGCAACCTCCGTTTTTTATTCACCAGTGGGGTATTTACTAACGTATTTTATGCTGTAAGGCGAGGCAAGGCAAGTTTATTTATATAGCACCTTTCAACACAAGGCAATTCAAGGTGCTTTACAAAAATGAAAGTTGTTGTTTGTTGTAGAACAAAACGTAAAAATCTCACTTGCTTGTGTAAAACACAGAACCAAAAAACGTTGGCCTTCAGATCAGGGCATGGGAAGTGATGAAATCCTGACTCATCTCTGGGTTTCTAAGAAGATTCAGATGTAGTAATACATCTTTGGGGCGGTGGCGAAGCCCATAGGGACTTGGCTTGGCAACTGGAAGGTCACCAGTTCAAGTACCGGAAGGACCAAGTGCTACCGAGGTGTCCCTGAGCAAGGCACCGTTCCCTAAAAACTGCTCCCCGGCTATGGGCAAATAGCAGGGGCAGATGGGGCTCATAGCCATGGAAGGCAACCCATCTAGGAGAAGAACATTCTGAACTAAAACCAGGACTGAGAGGAGTTGCGCCCCCTAGTCCTTAATCAGCATAGTAAAGCCAACCATGAAGAACAGAGTCATCCCAAATCCTATACTTCCAGCGGCGGGAGTCCGCAGGAACATCGCAGCGGATGGTGAACTGGCCAGATGTATGGAGAAGCGACGATGGAGGACTCGTCTGAGGACGACCTAGAGAGAATACCAGTTGGGCTGTAATGTAACGAAATCTGTCCAGCTGATTCAATATCTGCTTATGTTAAAAATATTTAAAAAACTATAAATGATATTAAAATTATTGTTTGAATGACATTCAGTCCAGTTATCTGGGCTCTGTTTATTCTGTCTGAGTAACCTTTAGGTACAACATAAAGTACAATCCTCTCCTACACAAAATACATTTCTCTTTCAGGAATCTCCAATAAATCCTGGGGCAATGGTACGGCGTGTTGTGACTGTAGCACTGTGAAATGTCAGATACATGTTTGAGGTTAGCCGCAGTCAAATACATGTCCTGCGGAAACAAGCTGTGTGTGAGAGTAAATGACTTCTGGTTTCAGTAAACACACAGCAGAGTAACACACACACACACACACACACACACACAAAGTCAGCGTCTGTTCACATCAAAATGAAAACTGGTTGTCGACACACCCACACATCGAAGGTCATCTTTTTTGTATGAATCCATGAAACCTAATCCACTTCTGTCACATTGTAGTCTGCAAACTGCCATGTGTTTGTTATTTCCATCTCTAACCTTCTTCTCTAAAAGCTTTCATCTTGTTTTGGCAACACATCCTTTATGTATCAGTGCTGGGAGTTGAACTGACCACAATCATGGTCACATGACCAGCTAAAACGTGACCTTTCACTTCTGCCAGGTGTCAATAAATGGAGTGTCTTTTCCCCATGTAACCCCACTTGATAAACATATAGATTAACACCGCAGAGCTAGCACACACACGCAGAGTCTCTGAATGTCACATGCCTCTCAAACTCTGGCAGGTCAAAGTGGGGCATGTTTGTTAAGACGTTTATTTTCATTAGGGTGAATTCTGGCTTTTCAAAGCAGGTGTGTGGTGAGCCCTCAGAAGAGCTCTAAAAACGATTGTAGAGAAACCCCAGAGTTCATCGCTAACATTTGTTATCACTTGCCGTACAAGAGGGTCAGAAGTCTACTTGCCCAAAGCTGATTTTTACTTTCCCCTTTACAAATGTGAGCAGAGATGAGAAGGATGTGAGATGGCTCACTCAGTTCCGGAAAACCCCAGTGTCTATTTCAGATTCTGTTGTTGTGGTTTGGTTTTAGAAGCTGGTACAAGAGGCTGCAGACAGTTTTCTTAACTGTGGTGGAATCACTGTCTCTCAGACTGTAAAGTGTTCTCCTTTCACTTTGTTATTCAATATTTAGGATTTTTAATTTGTATTAACTGCTTAGAGCAGGCGGTCCAAACTGTTTGCACTGAGGGCCACACACAGAGAAACATACCAAGGTCTGGGCCCCTCACTAGAGGTGAGGTATATTGCCACCTCATAAGTTAAGTTATAAGTTAGCCACATCTATCAAATGTAGGGAAATGATGCTTGAGACTTGAATATGCTTTAAGAAACAAACATCACAGCTCTCCAGAGGGTTTACTTGATCTTGTTGGCAGCTCATCCTTTAAAACAGGAGCCTCAGATTCCTTATCATAAGGGGGGATATGAAGCGTGTATTTCAGCTGCTCATTTAAATAAGTTATTGGGCTTTTATCAACAACGATTTGATTATGTTTTCAACTTTAATTGACTGAATGTATTTAATATTAAGTAATATATGTTTACATTAATATATTTAAGAATAGGATAATGTCACTACTCATGTAGTTGCTTTGTACTGCTCTTTACTAAGTGTGCAGAGCAATGTTGATTTAAAATGGCAGTTTGAAGGTTGGATATATTAATAATTGAATATGTAAATGAATAGAGTGGTGCAGTGACGAGTCCTAAAACCAGGAAGTGAGTCAGCATTTTACCACTTCCTGTTCCCTCTACTCAGAGCCAATGGGATTTCTACATATGATTTTGGAAAATAGCTGGAACTAAGGTCTGTGGTTGAGACATGTTGAAGAGACGGATCACGTTTTGTTCTACGACATAAAATCATCAGCAGGGACCCCGCTGGTGATTTCTGAAGAGTTTACGTGTCTGAAAAACGATGGTTGTTACCAAGTGGCTGAATAGGATTACGCCGAACATGTAAACACTCCCGCTAAGTTTGTTTGCCCCTGTTCTGCTTGAAAGCAAGTACCTGCCTCCTGCAAACTGTTAAAATAAACGCTTCAACTTGTACCATTTTGAATCTGTATTTTTGAGTATGGATCTTAAGTTGACGTGACGTTGAAGTCTTGCGACCCTGCTGTACTCGGTGTCATGTCTCGGAAGCTTATCATGAGAGTGTATTCTTTATATTAGTTTCGTCATGTCCCTTTGTTCTGTGCCCTGTCTTATTGTGAAAAGTCATTCTCCCTCTCGTTTCAGAACTCCATGCTCCCCGCCCCTATGTGTCTCCTGTGTTCGTGATTGGTTTCCCCGCCCTGATTGTTTCCACCTGTTCCCCTCACCTTGTGTATTGTGTTAATCCCCACCTGTCCAGTGCCAGTTCGTTTTCTTACTCATGACCACGTTCAAGCCTGCTCCATGGTCGTATCCCGTTTTCTCATGCTCAAGATTATTGCATTGAGTTTTTCCTCGGAAGAGTGATTTTGTGTTTCTTGTTTTTGTTACTGTGTAAATTCCAGTAAAGTCTTTATTTTTGAAAACCACCCGAGTCTGAGTCTGAGTTGTGCATTTGAGTTCATGCCTCTGAGTTCACCCCCTGACAGTCGGCTGTAGTTCCTTTATAGCATAATGTGTGCATTTTGCTTCTGGCGATTCGATTTATGATTCGAAAATGATAAAAGTAGGGTAGACATGTGGATATTATCCGGCTGAACAAAACGTGCATTTATCTAACAGGTTCGTTTTCCACAGACCTTATTTCCAGCTATTTTCCAAAATCCTATGGAGAAATCACATTGCTTTTTTGTCGAGGGAACCCATGCAGCTTACTTCCGGGTAAATATGTCATCCCTGCACCGCTCTATTCCAGTTGTAGAATGTGACTATTAAAAAGACGGTTCTATTTGTAATACTTTCCATTTTTATTGTCTCATTTGGTGGCATCAATGTGTGCATTTGATACAGATACAGGAACCCCCCCCCCCCCAGATCAAATCCCAATTCAACCCGTGTATTAGTAAAGTTTCTCTCTCGAAAGTTGACACCTGACAGGAGTGTCAACCTTCAGGAGTCATTGTTTTGTCCAGGCTTAATCCAGCTGACATGTGAGCTCCTGAGTCTGTGCTCCACTGTGAAACACACTGTGAACACAGACTTGACTCATCGACAGTCCCTCTGTCAGACTGTCGACTCAGCGCCTGGACAGAACAGATCATTCATTAAAACACAGGGTCTTCATTAGCACAGTTACTGTCGCTTTCAGGAAGACAGAGAGAAAGCAAGAAATAAAAGAAATATGTATCCAAATGTCGAAGTACCCTTTAAACCTGCCGAACCCGTAGCAACGGCTTTCAGCAGCTCTGTGATGACATGTCGACAGTGAAGCTGAAGGGTGTTCCCGCTCAATGCAAATAATAACACAGCACTCAACCTTTCCACAGTGTCAAGTTA